TATTTTTAATTTTGTATCCAAAAAATATTAAATGCTACGAAAACGTACTTTAAAATTTATCCAAAAATAACATGAAGGGAATATTGTTCCACATAATGTAATCATATGCTTCGGTAGAAAAGCCTCCTAAGTCCTAAGATTTCTTAACTACAATAAAATGAGTGATACATCTTTATAGTAACAGTACCAGCGGCTCCAATTACATTGTCTAAGTGTGGCGTCTGAAAATGTGAACATCAAACACTGCATCTTCTCTGTTGATGAGCTCAAACACACAAACATCTCCAACTACCAATTTACATTCTTTTACAAATTGGAACCAACCTCCAGAAAAAAAGGAGGCAGAGTTGTGTGGATAACATAGGAACTTGATAGGCCACACTTTCTTTCCACACCGTAACTTCACAATCTGTGTCTTGTTATCGAAGTACTCTCTTACGACTGCATCAAGTTAAATTTTCATCACCATTAGATCACAGCCTAATATTTAATGAGAGTATAACAATAACTGCATTTTTTTTTTTTTTTTTGATAGTGACAATAACTGCATTTTTGATGCATGCATATATGGAATAAAGTTCCCATACAGATACATGTGTTTAATTTGCTTCTTAACTTAAACCTCACCGGTCTACTTCCCGGCCTCACTTTGACTGTGAAAAAGGGATTTTCTGAGGCAAATTTATCAGCTTCTTTCAGAGCTCCATTTGTGTTGGGGGAGGTACCATCCACATCCTCTGAAAAAATTGAACATGGGTGAAAGTTATGAAAATTTGAACTCAAATACTCAAAAGAATCCATTAAAATAAAAGGATAATCCGATCATGAAATACATACCATCCAATTCTTTCTTGACAGCTGCCATTTTAGATTTACCAAAGTTTGTCCCTTGAGACCGATCACCTGATCTTGTGCTAGTTTTCAATTTGTTACGTGATTGAGGACAAGCCACTGGTGATTTCAGTCTAGTGTTCTGGCATGGTGGTTGCCCATATTGAGTGCCACGGAAAGGAAATCCTATTACAAGGGTACTCTTGTTAAGTATGAGTAATTCGTGAAATACATGAAATGAAATGAAAAGGATAATCCAATCACGAGAAACATACCATCCGATTCTTTCTTTACAGATGCAAACTTAGACTTCTCAAAGTTTGTGCCTTCAGTTTGGGCATGATGAGGCGGATTTTGCTCAGTGGATCTTCTCTCCACACCTCCACTTGTGTCAGATCTTGATTTTTGAAGCCAAATATCACCATCATTTTCAGTCCAAAATACTTCCCATTTAGTGCCATCTGGAGGCTTAAGAAACATTGGGTTTGACATGTCACCACCATATTTCCTAATGAATTTTTTTGGGATCCTCTGCAAAGAACTTTCTGTTAGCATGCATAATGAAACTCACAGGCATATATAACACAGAAATTCAAATGTACCTGACAATAAAAATCCAAAAAAATAAAATAATGAAAATACACGGAGAGAAAAAAGGAGATGAAGGAAAGGACGTTTACCAGCTTTCCTTCTTGAAGACTTGTTCCAGGAATAATCTTGAAGAAACGGATTGGAGTGGGGTCAGGGTGCTTACTCATGGATGTTGCTACTTGTGTTCCACCCTCTCTGTGTGTGTTTGCTTTGTGGCAAAAAATTGTAGTTTTATCAAAACACCAATCATGAAATTCAAATTTTTTTCTTGCACGAAAATAAACAATATAAGCGTGAATTCCTATGAGATAAACTAGCTCTTGCACGAAAATAAAGACGATATTCACATTATCACTACCCGCTACATGTAAGCACAATTGATTGATATCACTATCCAAAGATACACAAATGTTACCAAACCAAGTGATAGTAGCATGATGCATGCATGGGATGACACATGACAGAATAGTTAATTCCAAAAAAAAAAAAAAAATTATATACATATTGGGACAGGGAGAAGAAGGGGTTCTAAAGCTAACCTGAAAGTGAAAGAAGCTAGTAGAGATGTAGAGAATGAAAATTAAAGAGTGTGTAAAGGAGGAAGAGAGAAAGCATAAAGAAGGCAAAGGGAGTAACAAGTTTTTATAGGCAAACATAAAAGAGAAGCGAAAAAACAGTTCCACGGCCTTTTTTTTTTTCAATCAAGAACCCTTTTTTTCTCTATATGTTGTGATCTTTCCTCTCTCTTTTTTTTTTCAAAAATAAATAAATTTGGTGTGTATCTTTTCTTGTTCTCTGTTGAGATCTCCCGGTCCTTTTTCTGAGCATGTGTGAGGCATGCTATTGAGATGTCTGATGGAGTGGCGGTAAGAAATTTCAAAATAGGATTATATGAAATTAGAATACTAAAAGATTCAGACTTACTCCTTGAAGACATCATTCGTGATTTCTTGAAGTCTTCTTGTTTCCTCTGATAATCCTGCAATAGAAAGACCAGGATCTTCCTCTGCAATTCACACCAATCCCTGAATACAACCGTCGATGGGGCGAGTTGTGTAGTGACGGTTTTCTAACACATTGTGAATGCAGAGGGACCTAGCCAAACTTATTAACCCTAGTCCCCTTCTCATCATGGGCCTATGGGTTAGGCCTACACTGTTACCCACACTAATCAGATATTCAAACCCAAATCAAAATGATTACTAATTAACAATCAGGTCATAATCCTTGAATTAATTCTGATTAAATTTCCATTTTCCTCATAATTCCACCAATCAATCAGGTCATAATCCTCTAATTAATTCTGATTAAATTTCCATTTTTCTCATAATTCCACCAATCAATCAGGTCATAATCCTCTCATTAATTTGATTAAATTTCCATTTTCATCAAACTCTATACAAATCAAGGAATGCATTCATGACGCCCGCGCGGTCAGTGCCAAATTCGCGACTCCACAAATCAAGGACTGCATTCATGATGCCTGCGCGATCAGTGCCAAATCCAAGCGGATCGCGCGGACAAACAGAATGTAATTTGCCAAAATCACGCAGATCGCGCCATTTTCGCGCGTTTTGCACTAGACTATGCAATTTCAACTTCTCTCTTTAACTTCTTTTTTGTGTTTCCTGCTATCAAAATGAATAAATTGAGTGAGAGAATGATTGAGAAGGAATAATCAATATTTCTTGCATTTATGAGCTTATTTTCACACATTTATTATTAATTCCTTGCTTCTTTTACTTAGAAATCACCATATCTTAGACGCATATCACTCACCCAAATAAGGCATCAAACCCAACATAAGTCTCAACATCAACAACATAATAATAAGACGGAAAACATAAAAAGTATCTAATCCAGTCATGTCAGCATAAATATAACATCAATATCAGCTAAGCTTTGGCCTCCTGCCGCTAGAGGCATCCCCCCCCCCCCAAACTACCCGAACCTGAAATAAGCGCCCCCAAACATGGGGTGAGATCTCTAAACAAGAAATCTCAGTAAGACAAGGGGTCCTCCAGGATCTTCCACCCCAAGCTCACTTACATGTGCAATATAAGTTCAAAAACAGTTTATCATCATCAGTTCTAAGATAGTGCAATGCAACAGATAATCATGTCATGTGTGTCAATTCTATTCTACTGATCAGAGAAATGCAGGAATACGTCTATTACCCACACAATATGCAAGACGCTACTTGCACCCACCCATGGACTCACCATCTTGTATGACGCTACATACTCAGGCTTACCGACTAAGTGGAAACAACACATACATATTATAAGCCATTGCACATATCAGCTCAAAAGCATTTCAAAATATCCAAAACATGTAACACAGCATGCATATAAACCATTCCCCCATGGGGTATGGTGGAACCACAACATGGATAAACCAAGGACACGAAAGCTTACCTTGCAAGCTAACAATCCAAGCCAAGAGTCCAACCAAAGCTCACAGTCCAAACACAGCAGAATCACAATCTGATTTGGACCAGCAATCATAACAATAAACATAGCTCATAAGCATAAACATAAAGACAACGCTTCTCTTTTACGTTTTACGTCTTAAGGCTTCACACAAAGCCACAAGCCCTTAATCACTTGATTTTGACTTAGTCCAATTATTATAGAAGTTCAACTTCCTCAAACTAGGGTCCACAAACCCCAAACATCAGTTCTGGATGAACAGTAAACCATTGTTCCTTGAAAACCCAGAATATCCGGATATATGTCGGGGACATATCGGGATATCAATATCATATCCGGATATCCATATCCAGATATTTCGCGACAGAATGCAGTTTCTGCATTTCGCGAAGATATTCATCCAAGGTTCCATTTTTAACACTTCCAAACGTCAAAGCATGCATTTTTACTCTGTTCAAGTTTCATATATCAGTTGGTTACTTGTTTAACTCCTTAAACATACCAAGACACCTCTTTTAATCATCAAAACACATGATCAAAGTTGAGTCACTTACCCAAAGCTTAAAACAGAACAAAAGGTTGCTCTTGGAGGTCACAACCAGCTCCCAAGATTCTGACTTCCCAAAGAAAACGAAAATGATGCTCAAGGTTGGTTCTTTCACCTCAAAGGTCACTACTTGGACCTCTAAATGCCATGACCATGGCTTCCCAACACCCAAACCACACAAGGTCAGCACCCTCACCAACTCACAGTGGCTGGAAACTCAGAACAAGGCCACCAACACACTGCCAATGCCCACTCTCACTCACCACATGTGATTAGGAGAAGTTTTCATGAAGGAATATTCCTCAAAGCTCAAGAAATGGAGGAAGGAAGGAAATGGAGCAATGAGGGAATGCTGGTCAGCCACCAAAGTCACGTATGAAGAGTATATGGCCTAGGGTTTTGTGCAAAAATGTTATATATATAGCTCACTTAAACCTTAACACACAGTATTAACGTTAATTGCTACGCTTAGCATTTTAATCCCAAACTCAGGATTCTGAACCTACTCAATTTTACAGGATTTAACATATTTTTCTTATATTTTTCGCAGCACCTTTTCGGTACGCGCTTTTCCATAGCCAGTATCAGTTCTGGCACCAGCTCCCATTATTTTAACTTGAAACTTGAAATCACAGTCCTGCATATTATTCTAGGAATATTCATGCACTTATTATAATTTTCTGAGATACTTCATCGGTACGCATTTATACCGGGTAGCAGAATCGGCATCTGCATTTTTCGTCAGAAAAGCGACTTTCAGCATTATTACTCACTTACTATAATTATTAAAGCCTCGTAATAATTATTAGGGTCAATTATGGAATTGTTTTCTAATTTCACATAATTAATTAATTAACTTCCTTAATTATCGGTGCGGGTTCTTACAATCGGTATACTTGCCGTAATTGCAACAGCTTGTCGTTGATCTAACGTTCCATGACGAAAAAAATTTATATTATTTTATGTTAAAAATAAAAATAAAAATAAAAATAAGAGCAAACTAAGGATTGGCTCAACTAAAAATATATCATACGCGACTCGGTCATTGACCCGGTCGATGGATCATCGATTGAATCATATGATCCGGGTTAGTATATAAAAACCTATATTTTATACATAAAAATACTTAAATACATGTAAAAAATTATTATACAAGGCTGCAAACATATATAATTTTGTAGGTATGAAAGAAAGTTATATATGGTAACCACAAATAGTATATTATAAAAGAAATAAACATAAAAGAAAAAAAATTCAAATATCAGGTAATCACATATAATTTCTCTATCAAATATCTTCAACTAAGTATATTTAATAATTATAAGACATTTACCAACAACTCTTCCCATAAAAATTAATTTCTAAGGAATCAATATGTCACCTTCTCTTAATCTACTGTTCCGCAGATTACTTCAATCTTTGAAGCTGAAATTTGATGTCACTATAGGAGAGCAAACTACTAGCAAACAAAACTACAAAAAAATTTGAAAGAAGTTCCACACTTTTTTAAGACAAGATAAGAAAACTTTGATTTTTTATTTTTTATTTAACAAAATTGTGTGACCCACCAATTTTGATAGCCTGACCAGGTCACTAGTTTTGATAAAACTCAGCCGGTTCAAGCCAGTTTTCATCGAGTCTAATAAATGGTTGATTCGATACTTGATTCGAAACGGTCAGATGACTCATAACCAGTTCACCGAATTTCGGATTGACTCAGCTGGTTTAAACCAGATCTGATAACACTGATATAAACCTCGGGACAAACGAAAGACTCTGTGGTAATACTCGCCCCAAGTAATTAGGTCATGAAATTCAAAAAATACGAATATCAAAATAATTAGGCTTAAATATAAGTTATCTCCTTGAATTTTGACCATGTTTCAAATTACCTCCTGTACTTTTAATTATTTCAATTAACCCCAAGTACTTTATAAATGTTTCAAATCAACAATTCTGTTAAAAATTTTACAAACTCTGTTAAACCTCCTCACATGCCCTAAGCCCCAAATCTCAAAAAAAAATTCTCTTTTTTCTTCTACGTTTTCTCATCTCTTATTACAATAGTTTGGTATGATTTCGATTTGGACCGGAGAAGATTACTATTTCTCTTTTCTTCTGTGTTCTCCCAAGATCTCTCTTAAAAAAAATTAACATCTTCCACAAAGGAAAAACAATCATCGCTGAAAACTTTGTGAATAAATAATCAAGAGATAAAGAAAAGAGAGAAGAAAAGATCATCCCAAATCGTAGAAAAAAATATCATCGCTGAAAACTTTGTGAATAAATAATAACAAGATCATCTCATCCCAAACTTTGTGAAGATTCTTCTACGTTAATCTTCTCTGATCCAGATCGAAATCATCCCAAACTATTGAGAAAAGATCCAAAGAAAATTATAATAAGAGATGGGAGAACGTAGAAGAAAAGAGAGAAGAAATTTTTTAGATTTGGGGCTTAGGACATGTGAGGAGGTTTAACAGAGTTTGTAAAAATTTTAACATAATTTTTGATTTGAAACAATTATAAAGTACAAGGGGTTAATTGAAACAATTAAAAGTACAATGGGGTAATTTAAAACATGGTCAAAGTTCAAAGGGGTAACTTATATTTTAGCCAAAAAAAAATTATCCGATCTTACTCACCTATCTGGACGATTAAACGACTCCAAACCAAATACAATTACTCTACTCATAGGGTAGGATTAAATGTTCAAAGAAAATGGAACTCAAAAGAGGAATCATGTCTTAAATTTTTTTTTTTTTTTTAATATAATGGGAGCACTAAAATTTGAACCTATTACTTAATGCAAACTATCCAAACCACCTCAGCATTAGAGCAATACTAATGGCTTATGTGTTAAATTATTTTAGTATACGCCTCTTCTGCGCCTATATTTTGATGCGGAAAGAATATAGAAAAGTTGGTTAAGCAGAAAGAAAGGATACGATAAAAGAATAATCATCTGGTTTTCAATTTTTAATTATCAAAATAACAAAATTCAACTTCTAAAATAAGGGTCATAAACATCCTTTTATAGACTAATTACAAATTTATCCAAAATTTAAAAATATAAAATCTTAAAAATAAGAAAAATTCATAACATAAATATAACGGTAACTAATTTTAAAAAATAAATAAATAATTACAATTAAATCATTCAAAACACATCCCAAATCTTAGATCTTAAATTATGTTAAATGTGTTTTTTTCCTTCTCTTACCAAACAAAACACAATCATATTTGTTGCTTTATTGGGACTTGGATTTAATTAGGGGTGTTCATCAACCGATCCAAACCGATTCAAACTGCGGTGACCGAACCGAAAAACCGATAACCGAATAAACCGAAAACCGAAAAACCGAATGCCGATTAAAATCCGCAAATTTTAATTGGATTGGATCGGTTTTTGGATGGGTTGATGAAAACCGATCCAATATATTAATTTTCCTCTACCTACTTGGGTATTTCCCTAATCATAGCCTAAAAATTTATAAACCCAAGACTCATTAACCCATCAACTAAACCCAAGAAAAAATTGGCTGTGAAAATAGGGTAAGAAAAATACATGCCCATGTTTGGTAAGAGGAAGAGTTAAAAGGGGTCTGGAATAGAAATTTTTCAATCTAATCTTTTTACACATGGATCATCCTCTGAATTTTGCCAACGATGGAATGAAAAAAAAAATTCATTCGCGGTGGTAAAATTTTACACATAACATCAGTAAAATTCATTCAAATTTTTCGGAAAAATTTAGCCTACCATATACATTTTTTTAACTTACCCGGCAAAAAATTCGTCTCACCATCATATTTCGAGCAATTTTTTTTCTAGTAAAAAAAAATTCTCCTATACCAAACGCCCCTTAAGATTTTTTAAAATGTCGGTTCTATATAGCTCATCACATCAGGAAGAAATATCTAAGATTAAGTGCAGTAATGAGGTAAAGCAAATCATATTTTGGCAAATTTTTTAATTTTATAACTCTTAGAAAGTTATAATGTTGGTATTTAAAAACTATAGCAAAAAGTAACCCATCACTATCCATATTTTTATGATTATTTTTTTCCAATATTTTCCCCCCTTTTTCGATAAGGGAATATGGATACCTACTCACCTTGCAGAGAAAATGTTCTCTCTAAGCTACTAAAATTGATCTAATAACGAGGGGTTTAGATATGTCACGTTAGGTTGTGTATTTAGTTCTCACTTGTATCAACAAAACAAAAAAATGTGCTCCCTCATCACTTTCCAAACAACTAATTAATTTCAGACTTAAAAATATATTCACAAATATAATAAAGTCACCATTCTAATTAATAATTTAAAATTCTAAAAACATTCCATGAAATTAAGTAAAGGAATTAAAAAAAAATACATAAATATTTTGATAAAATACTAATGCATATATTCAAATTGTACAGTGCATCCAATCATGCATATACATTAAAATTTATTTTTTTAATTTTCAATTCACGTTATTTTACATTTAATTTTTATATTTTTTTAATTTATCTTAAATTATTGAAGATTTACAATGTGTAAAGGTATAAATTCTTCAAAGACTTGTGGAATTATTTTTAGAGAATTAGATTTAAAAATATGACATCAACATATTTAATACAAGTTTTGTTTACCAAAAAAAAAAATACAAGTTTTAAACTAATATTTTAGACATTATTAATTCAACAGAAAATATCTTTTTTTCTTTTATTTTGTGTCCCATATTTTTCTTTTTTTTAATACAATAATAAGAGCTGAGTATCTTGCATAAGTTATCTTAAAACACATCCAATATTCAATTTTCACTCTCACAGACTTTCCTGGCTATTTGACCATTTTGCACCTCATTAATTAATTAATAACCATTTTGCTCCTGATTTGAAATTATCTACCAATCTGCCCCTCTTTAATCGACTAACTTGAATTTTTAATCGACTAAATGGTTGTTGGGAGATTTAATCGACTAAATCTCCCTACTTAATCGATTAAAAAATCATACTGACTTGTTTTCCTTTGTTGTCTGTTGGGAGACTTAGTCGATTAAATAGAGAGATTTAGTCGATTAAATCTCCCAACAGCCATTTTTGCCTGTTTTGACCATTTAATCGACTAAAAATGCAAGGTAGTCGATTAAAGAGGGGCAGATTGGTAGATAGTTTTGAATCAGGGGCAAAATGATTATTAATTAATTAATAAGGAGCAAAAGGGTGAAAAAACCGACTTTCCTTCTACTTCTTTCCCGCAACTTTTGATTTTTTTTTTAATTTTTATTTTATTTTTAATTTTGTATCCAAAAAATATTAAATGCTAAGAAAACGTACTTTAAAATTTATCCAAAAATAACATGAAGGGAATATTGTTCCTCATAATGTAATCATATGCTTCGGTAGAAAAGCCTCCTAAGTCCTAAGATTTCTTAACTACAATAAAATGAGTGATACATCTTTAGAGTAACAGTACCAACGACTCTAATTACATTGTCTAAGTGTGGCGTCTGAAAATGTGAACATCAAACACTGCATCTTCTCTGTTGATGAGCTCAAACACACAAACATCTCCAACTACCAATTTACATTCTTTTACAAATTGGAAAAAATGCAGAGTTGTGTGGATAACATAGGAACTTGATAGGCCACACTTTCTTTCCACACCGTAACTTCACAATCTGTGTCTTGTTATCGAAGTACTCTCTTACGACTGCATCAAGTTAAATTTTCATCACCATTAGATCACAGCCTAATATTTAATGAGAGTATAACAATAACTGCATTTTTGATGCATGCATATATGGAATAAAGTTCCCATACAGATACATGTGTTTAATTTGCTTCTTAACTTAAACCTCACCGGTCTAGATTGAATTCCCGGCCTCACTTTGACTGTGAAAAAGGGATTTTCTGAGGCAAATTTATCAGCTTCTTTCAGAGCTCCATTTGTGTTGGGGGAGGTACCATCCACATCCTCTGAAAAAATTGAACATGGGTGAAAGTTATGAAAATTTGAACTCAAATACTCAAAAGAATCCATTAAAATAAAAGGATAATCCGATCATGAAATACATACCATCCAATTCTTTCTTGACAGCTGCCATTTTAGATTTACCAAAGTTTGTCCCTTGAGACCGATCACCTGATCTTGTGCTAGTTTTCAATTTGTTACGTGATTGAGGACAAGCCACTGGTGATTTCAGTCTAGTGTTCTGGCATGGTGGTTGCCCATATTGAGTGCCACGGAAAGGAAATCCTATTACAACGGTACTCCTGTTAAGTATGAGTAATTCGTGAAATACATGAAATGAAATGAAAAGGATAATCCAATCACGAGAAACATACCATCCGATTCTTTCTTTACAGATGCAAACTTAGACTTCTCAAAGTTTGTGCCTTCAGTTTGGGCATGATGAGGCGGATTTTGCTCAGTGGATCTTCTCTCCACACCTCCACTTGTGTCAGATCTTGATTTTTTACGTGGTTGAGGAGAAGGCATTGGTGATTTTTGTCTAGTCTTATGGCGTGGTTGAGGAGAATGATTGAGAAGGAATAATCAATATTTCTTGCATTTATGAGCTTATTTTCACACATTTATTATTAATTCCTTGCTTCTTTTACTTAGAAATCACCATATGTTAGACGCATATCACTCACCCAAATAAGGCATCAAACCCAACATAAGTCTCAACATCAACAACATAATAATAAGACGGAAAACATAAACAGCATCTAATCCAGTCATGTCAGCATAAATATAACAGCAATATCAGCTAAGTTTTTGCCTCCTGCCGCTAGAGGCATCACCCCCCAAACTACACGAACCTGAAATAAGCGCCCCCAAACATGGGGTGAGATCTCTAAACAAGAAATCTCAGTACGACAAGGGGTCCTCTAGGATCTTCCACCCCAAGCTCACTTACATGTGCAATATAAGTTCAAAAACAGTTTATCATCATCAGTTCTAAGATAGTGCAATGCAACAGATAATCATGTCATGTGTGTCAATTCTATTCTACTGATCAGAGAAATGCAGGAATACGTCTATTACCCACACAATATGCAAGACGCTACTTGCACCCACCCATGGACTCACCATCTTGTATGACGCTACATACTCAGGCTTACCGACTAAGTGGAAACAACACATACATATTATAAGCCATTCCACATATCACCTCAAAAGCATTTCAAAATATCCAAAGCATGTTACACAGCATGCATATAAACCATTCCCCCATGGGGTATGGTGGAACCACAATATGGATAAACCAAGGACTCGAAAGCTTACATTGCAAGCTAACAATCCAAGCCAAGAGTCCAACCAAAGCTCACAGTCCAAACACAGCAGAATCACAATCTGATTTGGACCAGCAATCATAACAATAAACATAGCTCATAAGCATAAACATAAAGACAACGCTTCTCTTTTACGTTTTACGTCTTAAGGCTTCACACAAAGCCACAAGCCCTTAATCACTTGATTTTGACTTAGTCCAATTATTATAGAAGTTCAACTTCCTCAAACTAGGGTCCACAAACCCCAAACATCAGTTCTGGATGAACAGTAAACCATTGTTCCTTGAAAACCCAGAATATCCGGATATATGTCGGGGACATATCGGGATATCTATATCATATCCGGAAATCCATATCCAGATATTTCGCGACAGAATGCAGTTTCTGCATTTCGCGAAGATATTCATCCAAGGTTCCATTTTTAACACTTCCAAACGTCAAAGCATGCATTTTTACTCTGTTCAAGTTTCATATATCAGTTGGTTACTTGTTTAACTCCTTAAACATACCAAGACACCTCTTTTAATCATCAAAACACATGATCAAAGTTGAGTCACTTACCCAAAGCTTAAAACAGAACAAAAGGTTGCTCTTGGAGGTCACAACCAGCTCCCAAGATTCTGACTTCCCAAAGAAAACGAAAATGATGCTCAAGGTTGGTTCTTTCACCTCAAAGGTCACTACTTGGACCTCTAAATGCCATGACCATGGCTTCCCAACACCCAAACCACACAAGGTCAGCACCCTCACCAACTCACAGTGGCTGGAAACTCAGAACAAGGCCACCAACACACTGCCAATGCCCACTCTCACTCACCACATGTGATTAGGAGAAGTTTTCATGAAGGAATATTCCTCAAAGCTCAAGAAATGGAGGAAGGAAGGAAATGGAGCAATGAGGGAATGCTGGTCAGCCACCAAAGTCACGTATGAAGAGTATATGGCCTAGGGTTTTGTGCAAAAATGTTATATATATAGCTCACTTAAACCTTAACACACAGTATTAACGTTAATTGCTACGCTTAGCATTTTAATCCCAAATTCAGGATTCTGAACCTACTCAATTTTACAGGATTTAACATATTTTTCTTATATTTTTCGCAGCACCTTTTCGGTACGCGCTTTTCCATAGCCAGTATCAGTTCTGGCACCAGCTCCCATTATTTTAACTTGAAACTTGAAATCACAGTCCTGCATATTATTCTAGGAATATTCATGCACTTATTATAATTTTCCGAGATACTTCATCGGTACGCATTTATACCGAGTAGCAGAATCGGCATCTGCATTTTTCGTCAGAAAAGCGACTTTCAGCATTATTACTCACTTACTATAATTATTAAAGCCTCGTAATAATTATTAGGGTCAATTATGGAATTGTTTTCTAATTTCACATAATTAATTAATTAACTTCCTTAATTATCGGTGCGGGTTCTTACAATCGGTATACTTGCCGTAATTGCAACAGCTTGTCGTTGATCTAACGTTGCATGACGAAAAAAATTTATATTATTTTATGTTAAAAATAAAAATAAAAATAAAAATAAGAGCAAACTAAGGATTGGCTCAACTAAAAATATATCATACGCGACTCGGTCATTGACCCGGTCGATGGATCATCGATTGAATCATATGATCCGGGTTAGTATATAAAAACCTATATTTTATACATAAAAATACTTAAATACATGTAAAAAATTATTATACAAGGCTGCAAACATATATAATTTTGTAGGTATGAAAGAAAGTTATATATGGTAACCACAAATAGTATATTATAAAAGAAATAAACATAAAAGAAAAAAAATTCAAATATCAGGTAATCACATATAATTTCTCTATCAAATATCTTCAACTAAGTATATTTAATAATTATAAGACATTTACCAACAACTCTTCCCATAAAAATTAATTTCTAAGGAATCAATATGTCACCTTCTCTTAATCTACTGTTCCGCAGATTACTTCAATCTTTGAAGCTGAAATTTGATGTCACTATAGGAGAGCAAACTACTAGCAAACAAAACTACAAAAAAATTTGAAAGAAGTTCCACACTTTTTTAAGACAAGATAAGAAAACTTTGATTTTTTATTTTTTATTTAACAAAATTGTGTGACCCACCAATTTTGATAACCTGACCAGGTCACTAGTTTTGATAAAACTCAGCCGGTTCAAGCCAGTTTTCATCGAGTCTAATAAATGGTTGATTCGATACTTGATTCGAAACGGTCAGATGACTCATAACCAGTTCACCGAATTTCGGATTGACTCAGCTGGTTTAAACCAGATCTGATAACACTGATATAAACCTCGGGACAAACGAAAGACTCTGTGGTAATACTCGCCCCAAGTAATTAGGTCATGAAATTCAAAAAATATGAATATCAAAATAATTAGGCTTAAATATAAGTTATCTCCTTGAATTTTGACCATGTTTCAAATTACCTCCTGTACTTTTAATTATTTCAATTAACCCCAAGTACTTTATAAATGTTTCAAATCAACAATTCTGTTAAAAATTTTACAAACTCTGTTAAACCTCCTCACATGCCCTAAGCCCCAAATCTCAAAAAAAAATTCTCTTTTTTCTTCTACGTTTTCTCATCTCTTATTACAATAGTTTGGTATGATTTCGATTTGGACCGGAGAAGATTACTATTTCTCTTTTCTTCTGTGTTCTCCCAAGATCTCTCTTAAAAAAAATTAACATCTTCCACAAAGGAAAAACAATCATCGCTGAAAACTTTGTGAATAAATAATCAAGAGATAAAGAAAAGAGAGAAGAAAAGATCATCCCAAATCGTAGAAAAAAATATCATCGCTGAAAACTTTGTGAATAAATAATAACAAGATCATCTCATCCCAAACTTTGTGAAGATTCTTCTACGTTAATCTTCTCTGATCCAGATCGAAATCATCCCAAACTATTGAGAAAAGATCCAAAGAAAATTATAATAAGAGATGGGAGAACGTAGAAGAAAAGAGAGAAGAAATTTTTTAGATTTGGGGCTTAGGACATGTGAGGAGGTTTAACAGAGTTTGTAAAAATTTTAACATAATTTTTGATTTGAAACAATTATAAAGTACAAGGGGTTAATTGAAACAATTAAAAGTACAATGGGGTAATTTAAAACATGGTCAAAGTTCAAAGGGGTAACTTATATTTTAGCCAAAAAAAAATTATCCGATCTTACTCACCTATCTGGACGATTAAACGACTCCAAACCAAATACAATTACTCTACTCATAGGGTAGGATTAAATGTTCAAAGAAAATGGAACTCAAAAGAGGAATCATGTCTTAAATTTTTTTTTTTTTTAATATAATGGGAGCACTAAAATTTGAACCTATTACTTAATGCAAACTATCCAAACCACCTCAGCATTAGAGCAATACTAATGGCTTATGTGTTAAATTATTTTAGTATACGCCTCTTCTGCGCCTATATTTTGATGCGGAAAGAATATAGAAAAGTTGGTTAAGCAGAAAGAAAGGATACGATAAAAGAATAATCATCTGGTTTTCAATTTTTAATTATCAAAATAACAAAATTCAACTTCTAAAATAAGGGTCATAAACATCCTTTTATAGACTAATTACAAATTTATCCAAAATTTAAAAATATAAAATCTTAAAAATAAGAAAAATTCATAACATAAATATAACGGTAACTAATTTTAAAAAATAAATAAATAATTACAATTAAATCATTCAAAACACATCCCAAATCTTAGATCTTAAATTATGTTAAATGTGTTTTTTTCCTTCTCTTACCAAACAAAACACAATCATATTTGTTGCTTTATTGGGACTTGGATTTAATTAGGGGTGTTCATCAACCGATCCAAACCGATTCAAACTGCGGTGACCGAACCGAAAAACCGATAACCGAATAAACCGAAAACCGAAAAACCGAATGCCGATTAAAATCCGCAAATTTTAATTGGATTGGATCGGTTTTTGGATGGGTTGATGAAAACCGATCCAATATATTAATTTTCCTCTACCTACTTGGGTATTTCCCTAATCATAGCCTAAAACTTTATAAACCCAAGACTCATTAACCCATCAACTAAACCCAAGAAAAAATTGGCTGTGAAAATAGGGTAAGAAAAATACATGCCCATGTTTGGTAAGAGGAAGAGTTAAAAGGGGTCTGGAATAGAAATTTTTCAATCTAATCTTTTTACACATGGATC